AGAGGAGAACTGGCACCCCGACTGAGACTGGTTTTTCCCAAGGTTTTTTCTCCATTCTGTCATCGATGGAGTTTTGGTTCCTTGCCGCTGTCGCCTCTGGCTTGTTTAGTTGGGGACACTTCATTTCCAGCGTTATTGTTGACTTGATTGCAAAGATACTATTTAAACTGAACTGATGATGACATCACTGAATTCAATGATGAACTGTCTTTAACTGGAAAATTAGTGTTTACTATTGTCATTTTGCATTATTGACACACTATTTTCCTAATTAATGCTGTTCAGTTGCTTTGACACAATCTGTATTGTTAAAAGCGCTATATAAATAAAGGTGACTTGACTTGACTTTTTAAGACCAAGTAAAGAAAATATAATAAATTGAATAGAGCACAATATGTCAATGGTCTGTAAATGTCTTGTATAAGCATCACTTCAGAGTCTGTAAATACAACTTCCAATATATCTCCATTAGTTTTTAATACATTTTTTCGTGCAAAAAATAACTAGCTCTGCTCCCAAACACTAGAATACGGAAATAATCATCAGTATTTTCATCTTCTGTTCCAGTGCAAATGTCTTAAGATTCTTAAATCAAGATAAATTTACTTGAGAAGCAAAATGACAAGATAAGAAGTCTTGTTTTATGAGAAATGTTTAATGTTTAATACAAGAAGTTTTCATAATCCATAGACAGATATTTATGTTTTAAGCATAAACTCACTTAATTTTGTTCATTTTTTCAGAAAACAAGAATTCATATGTTCAGTTTGCATCTTAAGTAACTGTATCTTGATTTAAGGGTGTTTAGATATTTGTATTGGAAAAGTGCATTCAACATTTAATGGCATGACTGAATTTCATTTAAGACTTTCTGCCCTGATTTAAGACCTTTTTAAGCCTTAATTTGTCTAAGGACGAATTAGCACTTTCTAAGACCTGTTGAAAACCTACAGAAACTCTGATGTAAAATAGACTTCCATGAGTTTTGTCCTTCTGAAAATTCAGTGCTTGTGTTCATACAGCCTGCAGAACGATTTCAGCCGATCACAGCAGTTTCACAACTATCTGGTTTTAATTGAAACACATTGAACAAATATTTGGGTGAGCTTCAACTGGTAGAGGCCCATATTTTTTAAATTCCATGCTAATTTGATTCTTATCTGCAGTTTGTCCTTTTAAGGACCGAGTAGATTAAATAGAAAGTTGACGATGATTGGAATTTTTTTTTGTAGGGTCAGTACCGGGGACTGAGTCAGCTGAGAGCCCCAGGATGCATTGTGAGGCCTTAGGCAGTTAGCCAACACAGTTTAGCATACACAATGGGTGGAGAACCCAGAGCGATGAAAACACTTTGCGGGTTAAGGTGCGGTCACAAAAGTTAGCTCCATGTCTGCATGGGAAGCTTTTACACATCCGTACAAGTCTCCCGATTTTACAGATTCCTATTTCTGACTGGATATTGTCTGTGACATTTTGCTGAGTAACGATAAATGTGACTGCACCTTTAGTCATCTAGGAAAATAAGCAAAATGACACATGCATTCTTTCATTAACTTTTAATAACAAACCCCTTAAACAAAATATATTGTAAACAGAACCAAAAAAAACCCCACATATGACTGGTATGACCAAATGTGTTTAGTTATCTTTCAGTGTGAATGGAATGGACAAAAAAGGTCTGCTGTTGGCAAACACATCAGATTATGTAGTTTCAGCACACTGCGATCTGGAAGCTGAATGGGTGACTGTGATAATACAGGATGAGGTAAGAACTTCAGTTCTTCCTTTTGGCTTTGCTGGTGGGTTTGGCGGGAGTTGGAGCAGGTGCAGCCTGGTAAAGAGCGGCTGACACTTTGTTGATGTAGTACAGTGCAAAGACAGAGAAGATCAGGCTATACGAGAGAGGACAGAGAAAGAAAGAGCAAAACAAACAGTGGCCAATTAGACATGAAGTTAATAAAGGTGAAGTGGGTTTCCTGTGGGATGACTCAAGTTTTTTCTATGGTAATCAGTTACTATAAGCATAAGTAATATCGTCCGACTTACCATGTTGTCACACACACGCGATGCACCAAACCAGATGCAAACAGAGAGAGGCACAGGCACAAGACAACTAAGGAGAGATGAAATCTTTTTCAGACAAGTACAGATATTAATTCTTAATAAAATCAGTCAGAATCTGAATTAAGTTGTATAACAAATTTGTATAATTTGTTCATTATTAAAACGCCACTGTTCAAAAGTTTGGGGTTGGTGAGATTTTATAAGTATCTTATGCTTTTCAGGATTGCATTTATTTGATCACAAAAACAGTAGTATTGTGAAATATTAGAGTTATTACAGTTAAAATAACAGTTTTGCTGTTTGAATATATTTTAAAATATAATTTATTCCCGTTTTCATTTTCAGCGGCCGTTACTTCAGTCTTCAGTGTCACATGATCCTTCAGGAATCATTTTAATAAGCGGATTTGGTGCTCAAGAAACAATTCTTATTATTAATGTTGAAAACATTTGTGCTGGCTAATATTTTTGTGTAAAATGTGATGCATTTTTTTCAGGATTCTTTGAAGTTGTTTTTTTATTGAAATCTTTTGCAACATCATAAATGTTTTTACTGTCACTTTTGATTAATTTAATGCATACTTGCTTAATAAACGTATTAAGTTCTTTCAAAAAAAAAAATCTTGAGCCCAAACTATTGAATGGTAGTGTATAGTGCAGGGATCCTCAAATCTGGCCCACGAGATCCACTTTCCTGCAGAGTTTAGCTCTAACCCTAATCAAACACACCTGAACAAGCTAATCAGTGTCTTCAGGATCATTAGAAAATCACAGGTAGGTGAGTTTGATCAGGGTTGGAGCTAAACTCTGCAGCGCATTGGCCCTCCAGGGCAAGATTTGAGGAACCCTGGTATAGTGTATTCATCTGAACCTTCTGCAGGCTAGGAAGATGATACACCAGACAATATCAGTACAACAGAACATTTATGAACGGTCTTGTGCATATTCTTTCTCGCACTTACTCTCTGGGAAGATTTTGGCTTGGAAGCCTTTGCCAAAAACAAGGTTCTCCAGGTTACTGAAAGCCTGTAATTGGGGGTTAAGAACTAACAGAAAACAGATGCGCAACACTTAAATAATGTTGAGGTTACACAAACTAGGGCTGTATGCATGACAAAGCAGCAGAAGGATACAGTAAGAGAGCAGACAAACAGCACAGATCCCAGGAAGCCCCCCAGGATGGTCAGCCACTCTGAAGAGCCCAGCTGCCTACTGAACATCTGCATTCCTGCAAACACCAGCACTGACAGCAGACTGGACAACACCAGGGACGTGCTTGTGTTCACCGCTAAAGAAACAGAGAGAAAGACCAGTCTAGAAATCAAAGAATATTATTACCAGTCACGTTACTATTATTTTTCATTCATATTATTTATTTAAAAGAAAGATTAAAAAAAAGGTTAAATTTGCACTGAGATTAAGTTTAAACTTCTCTGGAATGTATTTTAATTAATTCTACTAAGAAAGAATTCTGAAAAAATAAGCGTATTGTTTTTGACGGCTAATGTTGACATTTGGTTCCGCGACGGAAGTGTTCATCACGGAAGAATTCTAATCGGGAACGAGAGCAGAGAGCGATAAAAAAAACAAAAAAAAACCTCTGATCATCTTTTGTTCTACAGAAAAGAAACATTAATATACAAAAACGAAGGCAAACAAACGTCAAGGGGAAAATCGTATTATGGATCGATTACAAAGCAGGCAAATCTGCAAGAATTTTTGACACGTCAGTGTACGCCCTTCAAAACGTTCCGTGTGGAAACAAACACTGTAACAGCTACAATTTTCAACTTTTGTTTGCTTTTAGTGGTTATTTGCTTATATAAATAGTAAGCATTCACTAGTATATGTTATTATTCTTGTTCTTTCGCCTTTTCTACAAATACTGTGCCGATGACGATTGAAAACGTATGGAATGTTTTAGCATGGTATAACGTTAGCAGTGGGCTAAATGTCATTCAGATTATACAATGTTTTGTGTTTTTTAAATTCTCAAACACAAAGGGACGAAACAACCACATTGCTAATGTTTTCAAAGTGATTTAAATGACGATCTGCAGCAGGCAACTATTTTGCAATAAATGGCTAAAAACTTTCAGCAGTGCTATTTCATATTCATGCGCGCAAACTAGCCGACAGAACAGTGCCATTAGACAGAACATGATTTATCCCGAATAATTCATATAAAAGCTACACTCACCCATATTTGACAGCTGTAAGGTAAAGAGACAGATTTAACTCCTCTCTTTTCAGTCCCAGGGCCAGCAGAGCAATATGACGCTGACGCACGCGACGCTAAAAACGGTGCCAAGAGCGAACTCGCCTCCACAACCCTACAGCGCCATCTAGTGGACAGAAGCGAGTAGTCCCTGGAATGGATTTTTCGTGTGTTTTTAGCCTTTAGAAGATAATTGTCTTGAAACACGTACAAACAAACAAACAGTGTGTACATGTATATTTTTAACAACTATAATATCAAAGCGGCAAAATACACACGTTTTAAAAATGAACGATATTATATTATATTATATTTTATATTATATTATTATAGCCTATTTTATTGTTCCACCCTTGACTGTGCGTGCGCTCAGCATCCCACCTGCGCATGCTCTTTAGTGATCTCCCCCCGAACATCTCACAACATCCATCGACTACATGGATGGCTCAACATCCGTCTGAACAGACCACAGCAAGCACTGTTGGAAAACCCCTAAATCAACATGGACTGCGTTAAATTGGACTTCTCAGATATATAGCCTATTATACACACATAATATCATAACTTAAAGGTTCGTCTTATAACTATAAATAGCCGTCAATTTCAGTCGCAGGTACCACCATTTCGGTTTATTTCGCGGTGTCCTGATCTTAATAAGCTGTTAGTAGTTTTTAATGATTCTATAAATAGAAAAGGGCGCTCGCTAATAGCGTTATTTCATTTGAAATTAATTTAACCACCGGCATAGTTCCAGCAATGGCAGATGCGGAGTTGCAAACCTTTACATCCATAATGGACGCTCTCGTGCGCATCAGCGTAAGTAGCTACATTTGCATCGTCAAAACCACATATTTGCACATTATCCGTGATTTGCATGTGGCTGTTATTTAACACACGAACGCACGCCATCTTTCTAAGAAATGGGACATTTTTGTGTTTTTCATAGCCAAATGTAAGATAGCGTTAAAATAAATAAACACACCATTCTTTATTGAGAGCATGCATATAATTTCCTCGGAATGTAGGGGAAAACACCTGTAAGCAGAAACCGAGTAGCTGCATTTTTCATCCTTTCCTTCTTACTGACACGCATGTAGGCCACGGCTGATTTTCCTCTGGTATTATATGATGCATTTGCTTTCAATCGCGTAGGCCTAATATATAACAGAATAGTACGAGTGTTTATTTCACCGTTAGTTCAAGATTGAATACCGGCGTATTAGTCTACCTCAGAATCGTATTGACGCATATCAGACGTTGATACAACATATCAATTTTTTAATGACTTGAAGGAAAAACAGAGAAGGCTTTTTAAATCCAAGAAAAGGTAAAAGGCCTTATCAGTGTCGATCGACAGGATGCATGTTGCCATAGAGACGGGATGCAAGAGCGCTGAGGCCTCGAGAGCCTCTGTGGGAAACGACTGCGTGAAGGGCACGTGGAAAAAAGACGGATAGGCGAATGTAATTATTTGAATGGCTTATTGACAAAATTAAATGTAGGCTATATGCTGTCAGCTGTGGGCAAAATAATGACCAGAAGCTGAACACTGTCTCCCAGGCTGGTTTCAAGATATTCTTGCTAACCAGCTAAACTAGCTGCGCATCTGTCTGCAAGGATGAGTGTGTCAGCATTTTCTTTGCATTTGAATTGAAGCAAAAAATATCGGAAAACCGAACAAAACAAAGGCACAAGACTGTGTACTAGTGAAGAACCGACGTAATTGAATTAAGAACAATCATAATGCAGTTTTTCACCATAAATTCCAATGTTAAACATGATTATTTAAAGAATAAGTTGAAATTACGTGGACTGACAGCTTCAACAAAAGCACAAACCATCAATGAACAAACTCGGAGCTCACAGTAGGTCTGCCTTTAAAGGTTTGTCATTTATCATTCAAAATCAGTTCCCCTGTAAAGAAAATGAATCTACTTCAAGAACTGTTGAACTCTATTATAATTTCTTTCATTTAGATTCCACTGGTGTATAATTATATTAGCCTATGGTTGTTTTATGGGTATGATCAAATTGGAAAACTAATTAAAATGTTTACTTCACTAAGAATGACTCTAAGTTAATACCAAATATGAAGCTCAGGTGGTTGGAATGTAAATAATCAAGATTTCTGTAACCTTGATCTTTAGAAGCCACTATCAAGTTTTTCCAGTTTGAGGAGTGACACTTTTACTTTCTGGCATTTGAAATGTTTGAGTTGCATTTGCGCACTCCTCTTGGAAAGATCAAAGATGACTATATTTGAACAGATTTCTCAATCAAAAACAACTCGTAACTCTTTCATTTATGAATAAAATGGAGCTGCTGCAAATATCAGTCATATTGTATGTCACTTATGATTTGAATGTTGCATACAAGGATTTCCATTGTGACTCCAATACTGTGAAACTAGACTAATTTGTTAAAAAGAATAAGAAAAAAGGAAGTATTGACTGCGGTTTTAATAAACAGTATGGCTGTTTGTGTGTGTTGATGTTTGATATGCACATCTTTCTCTTGATATGCAAATGTTCTGACCTTTATGAGTCATGACTAACCTATTTCCATATTGTTGACCTTACAAGAACTCAGTCCATAGCACAATCCATAATCAATTTCAATCATTAAAATGGAATAAAAAATTAAACTCCAAATATAACATCTTTAAAATCTACAGTGCTTCAAAAATAAATAAAACCATGACATTACACATATAACATCAAGAGTTAACTATTTGTTGTCAGGATATATGGCTTTGATCTGTGTCTATAAATATCAACATAATGTTTGATTGCATGTTTTCTTCTGCTAATTGTTTATTTAACTCTGTCTCTTTCTCTGTCTAGTCCAATATGAAGAGCATAGAGCGAGAGCTGCACTGTCCAGTGTGTGAGGAGATGGTGAAGCAGCCGATAGTGTTGCCTTGTATGCACAGCGTGTGTGTGCTGTGTGCAGCAGAAGTCTTGGTTCAGAGAGGATACCCTCCACCCGAACTCCCCCCAGAGCCCAACACTCCCACCTCAAGCCCCATCACACGCTCTCCCCGACAGACACGCCGGCCTCCACCCAAAACAGACCGTCTAGACCGGGTGATCAGAACAGGTTTGTGTGTTCATTAACAGACACCGAGATCAAAATTAAGTGTGCTGACATTTTATTAAATGGCATTTTGGGACGACTGATTCTGATTTGTCAATCAATTGGTAACTCAAGTATTTTTATAGTGAACACTAAACTGTGCACTATGCCATTAAAATGTTTGGGTCGATAAGATTTGTTAATGTTTTGCTCACCAAGGGTGCATTTATTTGATCCAAAATACAGTAAGCGTTGTAATATTGTGAATATATATTCTATTTTAATATATTTTAAAATGTAATTCATTAATTATTTATTTTTTATAAATACAATATTTTTCTAAAATTAATTTGTTATTTAATTCAACTTTACATATTTTAAAAAACATTTAAATGACATTTAAATGTTGACAACTGCATAGTTTCGATTAAATATGATTTCTAAAACAGTTTGAGTAATTATATTGCTTTTTATTTACTAAAATAATTGTAACAAATAAAATAATAAAACATGATAGCATGTCAATTTAATTATTTATTTGTTATAATTATAATATGTATATAACAATTATTTTATTTAATTAAACAATGTATTTTTTAAACATTTAAATAGCATTTAAAATGTTGGCATAACAGCATAGTTTTAGCTCTGTGCAAATGTTTATAATGATACTGCATCATTCAGATGTATTGCATCTGTACAACACTTTGCAGGTGCGTGTGTGTTTAAATATAGCAGCCGTCGTTATGGGCTGATTCTGAATGCGTCAGCCCACAGTGGGCCTCTGGATTCTGTTCTCTTTCTGCATTGATTAGCTTTTCCTTTCTTCTTCCTGACTTAGATTTATTGGGGCTTAAAGAAGCTTTAATGTTGGAAACAACTTTTTCGAACTGTATCTCTCTCTCCCTCCCTTGTGTGCAGTGTGTGGGACACATCCAGGACGGAGGCGTAAAGACACCCCACCTGTGATCATGCTGTTCCCCTGTCCCACCTGCGGAAAAGATGTGGAGCTGGGAGAGAGAGGGCTTGCAGACTGTCTGAGAAACCTCACGCTGGAGCGCATAGTGGAGAGGTCTCTCTCTTTCTCTCTCTCTCACACGCAAACACACTTCCTCAGAATTCCTGCTAAATTAAAAATTAATTCCAGTATCTGTGCTGTACAATGCAGAAATGTTGTTCTACTGGTTTTGAACACTTGAGATGTTCTGAACTTGCATCTATTCATAGGCACATCACCAAAGAGATTGATAACTCACAGAGTACGTGGACCAATGAAATCACTACTGGCATAGCAAAATGAAGTGGAGAAAAGGAGGAGACAGAAACATATTTAGTTTCTTCCTTCCAGTAAAGAGCACACATGACTCCCATTCTGTACTTGAGTAAAATGGTCACAAGCAATTAGCCTTAAGCTTTCAAAACCACAGTAATGCTGTGTACGTTCAGTTATAGCTTTCAAAAGCAAGAGAATAAATATTTAACTCAAAAATGAAAATGTGATTCAAAACCTGCAGAACTTTCCTTCCTCCATGGAACACAAAAGGAGAAATGTTTGAAGAATATATTAACCAGAGTGAACTGAGTTCCAAAATAATAATAATAAAAAACCTCCATAAAAGTAACATAAAACCAGTTATGCAATTTATTCAAAGTATTTTGTTTTATGTGAAAAACAGACTGACATTTTGACATTATTCTATGTAAATTGCATCAGCATCTTTTAAAATATGATGCATTTAGTTGCAACACATCAGGTTTGTCATTTTAACATTGTGATGTCAATGTGATGTGACCAATTATTATTATTGTTGTTGTTGTTGTTGTTGTTGTTAAATTGTGGCCACTATTGAGCTACATTAAAATTGAAATACATTAAAAGAATGAATTAGTATAGCGTGGCCACGATTTCATTAAAATCGCATATTTGTTTTAAAATATAAAAATAAATATTTGTGTCTGATCAACGACCACCATTGCTTATGATGACTTAAATTTAAGTCATCATTTTCTCACCTTCATGTCGTTCTAATGCCGTATGCCCTTCTTTTTTTTTCAGACCACAAAAAAAAAAAAAAAAAAAAAAAAAAAAAAGTCCTGTGAACTTATTCTTAAATCATAGCAACAAGATCTATTTTGTCATGTGTGGAGCTTCGTACATGACTGATCGTGTCTGTTCGCACAAGATGTGTTATGGAATGTAAAAACAAAACATTAAAAAGACATTTAAAATATGTATGTTAGATTGTTAAACTATTTAAATAAGGACATGATGTTCCTTTTAACATCTATAATAAAGTAAATCAAATCTAAAGGTAGGTAATATATCAGTTTCTCCTCTCACATCAAGGGTGAACACTTGAGGGTTGAACATTTGTGAGAAAACTGGGGATCTGAATGCTTTGGAGAGCTGAGATGCATCTATATGTACAATACACCACCCACACACACACATGCTAGAATGTATGTGCACATACAAATATATAATAAAATTAAACAAGCATGCACACATGTAACCCAAGCCATACATGTTTACTTTTCAGATGAGCCTGATGTTGTTCATTTCGAATGCACAGTAGATGACTGATGTCTTTCTTTGTTCACGTGTGCAGGTACAGACACACAGTGAGTCTCGGCAGCATGGCAGTCATGTGTCAGTTCTGCAAACCTCCTCAGGCTCTGGAGGCCACCAAAGGCTGCGCTGACTGCAGGTCCAACTTCTGTAACGAGTGCTTCAAGCTGTACCACCCCTGGGGCACACCGCGAGCCCAACACGAACACATCCTGCCCACACACAGCTTCAGACCCAAGGTAAAAGCACACAGGACCATTCTGAGAGATGACCAACACTAATGTACCACACACATAAAGAGAGAGTGTCTTTGAGTCAAACCATAAATTCCTGTGTTGACATTTAGGTTCCACTTTTTTCACACCTGCCAGTGTTTTGAAGAACTTGACCAGCAATATACATTACCATTCAAAGGAATTTTTGAAAAGAAATCAGCAGTGATGCATTAAATTGACGAAAAGTGAGAGAATAGACATTTATAATGTTGCAAAAGATTTGTATTTCAAATAAATGCGGTTCTTTTGAACTTTCTATTTATCAAAGATTCCTGCAAAGATGCTACATTTGTGTCACTGCTTAAAATATTACGCTGCACAGTTGTTTTCAGCAAGAGATGTTTCTTGAGCACCAGATCAGCATGTTAGTATGATTTCTGAAGGATCATGTGATACTGAAGACTGCAGTAAAATTCAGCTTTGCCATCACAGGAATAAATTATATTTTAAAATATACTGGAATAGAAAACAGTTTTTTTATATTACTGTATATTTAAAACATAAGTGCAGCCTTAGTGAGCATAAAAGCCTTCTTTCAAAAACAATAATAAAAAAAAATCTTACTGACCCACATTTTTTAATGTGTTCTGTATACGTGCAAAACAGTATTTTGCATTATTTTTATTTTTATTTTTGGCCATATGACAATGGACTCTTTTATCTATTTTGAACTTAATCCCATGCAAATAATATTCAAATATTGCCCTTTTCCACAGTAATCAACACAGATGATTTTTGATCAACTGTTATAGTCTGAAAAGTTCCTCTTAAACTCATTTCCTCTCTCTCTGTCTTATTTCTTGCCCATTTCTCTTCCTTCTCTTCCTTTCTCTCTCTCTCACTCACATGCAGGTATTAGTGTGTGTGGAGCATGAGCAGGAGAGGTTGCCGTTTTACTGCAGGTCATGTCAGCGTTTGTTATGCCCACTTTGTAAACTCCGTCGAGCCCACAGTGGACACAAAATCATGCCTATTGCGCTGGCTTACCAAACTCTAAAGGTATCCATTCCGGACATTAATCCTTATGTGCTTTATAGTCTTTAGACTGTAAACATTATAAATATGCCCAACATGTCCTTCTTTCCTGTATAAAATGGTTATTTGGGCTAATCTTTCTAAGCTCTAGCCCTGCGCAGCTCTGAATGATCAAGGGCAGAGAGGAGAGGATTTCCTCTCAATGACCAGGGAGCTCTAGCAGAAGCTCTACGGTGTTGTTGGTGCTTAACGTAACTCATCATTCTCCATGTTGTGAAATCACAGGAGAAGATCACCAAGGAGATGAACTACATCTTGGCCAATCAGGAGTCTGTACAGGCACAGATCACCCAAGTAGAAAGCGGCATCGCTCAGACTGAGGTACACAGCACTGGTGTTTTAATTATACTTTTAGTGTTTGTGAGACACCTCTTCATTTCAGCGTATGAAAGTAGTGTGGCGCGGGGAGTGATTTTTCCAGGTGTTATAAACTTTTAGCAGTCAAAATAAAAGAATAATGGAACTCGTGAAATATGATGTTGAAATATATATATGCACACACAGTGGTGGCCAAAATTATTAGAACACTAGTATTTTCACCACACTGTAAAAAAAATCCGTAAAATTTACGGTAGAAAACCGGCAGCTGTGATTGCCGGAATTTTACCGTAAAAAATACGGTAGCAACGTTTTAGGTTTTACGGTTTTAACTTAAATTTACAGTTAAATACCGTAATTTCATTAACTGATGAAATTTTATTATATACCAACCTATTGAAGTACTAAAATCTGTTTTGTACCTTTGTAATACACTGATAACCACCAAATGCAGGTGGTGATGAGAAAGTCACACGATGAACCAAAGCCTATCACAAGCAGCTTTTAAATAATAACATATATAGAAGGTGCACAGTGTCATTCACACAAACACCAAACACCATCATGGTAACACACATGAAACTGAAATAATGCAATAAACATTCATTAACAACATTACGTATAACACACAACCCTAATATACAAAACTGATAAGAAAAAACTAAAAAGAAACATAGTTATTTAAAAAAAAAAAACATCAAATTTGAAATGTAACGCAGGGAATTCTGGGAATGTCAATTTACAGTTATTCACTGTAAATTATACGGTCTTTTTCACTTCCAAATACGGTATACTACCGTAAAATTAATGTCCAATACATGTAATGTCCAATACAGTTTTTCACCGTATATAGTAGGGGAATTTACCGTTAACCATTTAACAGGTTTTTACTGTAGCATTTTTACAGTCTTTTACCGTTAAATTCACGGTCATTTTTTACAGTGCAGCTAAAACATTGTTTAAAGTCAGTTATTTCAATTTTTTGCTGTAGTGTGTCGGCTTACATTTCCAAACATTCATTTTGCCATTAATTGTAATAATCCAGTGAGATTTTTGTCTGACAACAGCCAGTGCTGCACTCAGAGATCTGATCTGATCATCATCATCCAGTCTTATGACATTATTTTTGACAGCATCCTCATTTTACAGCATTTTTACGCAAGTGCCTAACAGTACTGTAGCTTTGCAGGTAGGTTTCTTGAAGCGTCTTGGAGACGTTGTCACAGTTCTTCTGGATTGAGTCTGTCTCAGTTTGTTCTGTTTCTTCACGTCATTCCAGACAGACTGGATGATGATGATCAGATCAGATCTCTGTGGGGAGCAAAAATCTCACTGGATTATTACAATTAATGGCAAAATAAATGTTTGGAAATGTAAACTGATATTTCCTACTGACACACTACAGCAAAAGATAGAAATAACTGACTTTAAACCATTTTTTTAGCTGGTGAAAATACTAGTGTTCTAATAATTTATATATATGTGTATGTGTGTGCGTGTGTGTGTTTGTGGACAAATGTCATGGCATGGCCAAGGTTCATTGTTAAAATTAAGAAAATATATACAAAATGTAATTAAAACATCTGTTATTATTGTTGTTATTATTATTGATAATATTTAAATTTAAGATATATTATAATTTCATGTAAATATTTTAAATATAAAATATATGAATTATAAAATATAAATTGAATAGATTAAAGTAAATTGAAAATTTTGATTTAAAATATTTTTTGACATTTAAAAAGACACAATACTTCTTTAATAAATGGAAATAAAATCTAAAGGTGGATAATAGGTCACTCTCTATATGACTTACCTGGAATGATGGGTGGTTATTTTTTTGTATTTTGTTTTTTTCAGTGGTGTTTTCACTTGAAATAATTGAAATATTTATTTGTGAAAAATAATGACGACCAAATGTGATGGTCGAGATGACAATACAATACAATACAATACAATACAATACAATTAAATTATTGATAATAATATTTTTTATTTAATATGTATTATTGTAATTGTAAAATATGAATTAGATAAATTTAAATAATAAAAATGTTTACATTTTAAATTATTAAAATATTTATGACATTTAAAAAATACATGATGAGAGGTCTCCTCCCATATGTAGTAAAAAATATTTAAAGAAATTCTCAGTCAAGCTTTGCTATTCTGCTCTGCTGTCCTGTTAATTCTCTGTACCTCTGTGTTCAGGTGAACAGCGCAGTGGCTAAAGAGCAGCTGAATCAATGTGTGAGTGAATTGCGCGGTGTGCTGGCGGAGCGTCAGGGGGCCTTGGCCATGTTTCTGGAGGGGGCCCGTGCACAGCGGGCAGGGACTCTGAACGCACAGCTTTCCGAAAAACAGAGTCTTTTGGAAAATGCAGCGCTGCTCACATACACTCAAGAGTTGCTTAAGGAAACTGACCAGTCGTGCTTCGTGCAGGCCGCCAGAGTCACGCACAACAGGTTAGAGTGTATGCTTGTGGGTGTGGGTTGCTGTGATTGTGCAAATCTGGCCATTTATGAAATACGAATCCCACAATAGCCTATTGTGTGTTTCCATAGAAACATTTTCAAAGTACACAACATAAATGTGGGAATATTATGTTACACATGATCACTTGGTATACAGAAAGCTTGATTTTTATCTCTTTTTTTCTCCTCAGACTGGTAAAAGCAATAGAAAATCTACAGCATTTCTCTCTATTTGCTGATCCCTCATTCCGACACTTTCAGATGGACGTCTCCAGAGAACTCAAAGCGCTCAGCAGCATGGACTTTATACAAGGTTTTCATAAAAACGTGCTTTTCTGTGTCAAATATAATAATTAAATGCACATGCATTTGAATTAGCATTTAATCCCACCCCTTATGTTCCTTCTGCAGCCCCATTGGCTCCTGTGATTGACACTCAAAAGACCTTGGCCTATGACCAGCTGTATTTGTGCTGGCGCCTCCCACAGGACTCCGCCCCCGCCTGGCACTACTCAGTGGAGTATCAGAGGAAAGTGGGCGGAGCTGGAGCATTATGGGGCAGAGTCTTGTCTGAAGGAAGCTCAGGAAGTAATGGCACACACTGTTCATGGCAGCGTCTGGATGATGTGGGTGGGACCAGTGCAGTGATTGACAAGCTAGAGATGGACAGTGTGTATGTCCTGAGAGTTCGAGGCTGTAATAAAGCAGGGTTTGGAGAGTACAGTGAGGAGGTGTATCTACACACACCTCCTGCACCAGGTAAGATGCACAAATATACAAACATACTTCAGTCTGAACCACTTCAAAATATCAGAGACACATTTCTTTTTCTCCAGCTCCCCAATTTATTGCATTATTGAATGTTTTGTTTTATTTTGCATCTTTCCCACTCATTTTACTTCTTCGACTTGCAATTTACATTGTCTATCATCCACTTGTTTTTCTGTTTTCTTGTCTATCCATCCATTTGATGATTCATTGATGTTTTGCTCTCATGCATTCATTTATTGATATTCATTCATTATCCATCCATTCTCCATTTATCCATCCATCAATGTATTCATTCATTGATTTATTGATTCATTCATCTGTTTTTTGTTCATTTTTGTTTATTCATGTGGCATCTATCCATCTGTATCAATTATTCATTTATTTATTGAATGATTCATTTGTTTATATCAGTTCATCCTTTCATCCTTCATTTATCCATCCAACCATGCATTTATTTGTCTGTTTGTTCGTTTGTTTGTTTGTTCACTCACTTGTTCATCCATCCATATAGGTTCATTGTCTATCCGTTTCATTGATTCATTGATCCATTAATCTATCTTCTATCTATCCATCCATTCACTGATTCATTCATTCTTCTGTTTGTTCGTTTGTTCATTCGTTTGCTTGTTCATCCATCCGTCCGTCCTTCCATCCAATCCATCCATCCATCCCACAATTCTGTCAAACTGAACCTGATCTTCTTGTGCTATTAGATGTATATTACATTCTCTTTCATTTTCTCTCATACAATTAATTCTGTTGCTTATCAGTAGTATATTTCTCCATGCATATCCACAACTCTTTGACATGTCTCTGTTTTTGCTCTTCTCTCTGTATTATTTCTCCTTATGTTTCCTGTTATTCTCCACCTTCCTTTGCTCCTGTTATCTCTGCTGTTTCTTTGACTTGTATTCCTGTTTAACTGGAATATATCAGCAGCTTGATCTCCTCTGAATCCTAAAGTCCTTGAATATGTACAATCTTCCTGCTCTCCTCTGTTTCCCTCTTTTCTCCAAATTTTCAATCCCATTTCTTCCCTTTTTCGCTTATCCATACATACCACCCTCTTTATGTCTCCTATTTATATGTTCACTCCCTCATCCTCTTTTTGTTTGTGTTCTGCTCCTAATGACCTGGCCTTTCCAAACCTCTCCTCCACTCCATTTCTCCTGCATACCTCAATCTCAGTGTTGTCGTTCTGCCTGGATTCCCGCTGGGGCCTACATGCGGAGCGGGTGGCGCTGGGAAAAGGGCAGACATATGCCCGGAGTGTTCCTGGAATGACTCTGTTGCAGGCTGCAGATCGGGCCCTCACCTCATGTCACCTCACCTCTGACCTCCTTGTGGCCGATGTTTCCATCACACAGGGACGACACTACTGGGCATGCTCAGTGGAGCCTGGATCCTACCTGGTTAAGGTCAACATAGAAATTAGTACATTCAATTGATCAGAAGTGACAGTCAAGCCATTTATAATGTTACAAAAGATGACTGTTTCAAATAAATGCTGTTCATTTGAACTTTCTGCTCACCAAAGGATCCTAAAAGAAATGTAGCACAGTTTACACAAAATATTAAGCAGCTCAACTGTTTTCAACAGTATTGAAAATGTTTCTTGATCACAAAATCAGCATATTAGAATGATTTCTGAAGGATCATGTGACACTGAAGACTGGAGTAATGGCTGCTGAGAATTCAGCATTGCATCACAGAAATAAATTACATTTAAGATATATTAAGTTGAAAAGTTTGTTTTCATTTTATTCATTTATTATCAATTTTAAATTGTATATTACACATTTTAAATTGTTGCGATATTTCACAGCGTTACTGTTTTTACAGTATTTTTGATCAAATAAATGCAGCCTTGGTAAGTATAAGAGACTTCTTCCAAAAAAAAAAAAATTTTTTTTTTACCAACCCCACCCTGAACGTGTGAGCTGTAGTGTACAGCTGATTTGTTGCAAAAATTGATGATATACAGTACGTTTTAAATATTTCATTTTTTTTTCTGTGAAGTAATATGAAAAAAGTATGCCAAATTACTGAATTAAGTTTTATTTTCAAGGATTTAATTTTTAATGAAGATTTTTTTTTATTCGTTGTATCATACTGACACTTTTGCATTTATTTATTCCACAAAAAATAAAATGAAAACAAAATGAATTTTATTAAAAAATAAAAACCCAAGTTCACAGAAGTATATGTGACCCTGGACCACAAAGTCTTAAGAGATTTATACATCATCTGAAAGCTGAATAAATAAACTTTCTATTGATGTATGGTTTGTTAGGATAGGACAATATTATTTACAAAATATCTTCATGGAACAAAATATCCTAATGATTTTTGGCGTAAAAGATAAATCTATAATTTTGGCCCATACAATGTATTTTTGGCTATTGCTACAAATGTACCCATGCTACTTAAGACTGGTTTTGTGGTCCAGGGTCACATATTCAAGTTATATTTATGAATTGCATTTTGGTATATTAATATATTTTAATATAATAAAATATATTTTAACCTGAAAAATCTAAAAACGAGTTGTTTTCTCTATGTGTAGGTGGGAGTGGGTATTGAAGCAAAACTACAGGAGTGGTTCCATCTTCCACAAGACATGGCGAGTCCACGGTGAGGAGAAACTTTTAGGAGTTTAAGAGCTGACTAACTCAGGGTGACTTACATAGGCTATATTATTGATGATTTTATTTTTTTCCTTCCATTTCTCTCCATAGGTACGATCCAGACAGTGGTCATGACAGCGGCGCAGAGGACGCCCAGGACAGTCCTCCTCCATTCTGTTTCCTCACAATGGGCATGGGCAAGATCTTACTACCTAAGTGTGGGGCGTCTAACACTTCTACCGGTCCCCTCACTGCCCCCTTACCACCTCGCCTTGGACTGTGTCTGGACTTCGAGAAGGGGCGGCTCACTTTTTACGATGCACACTCTTTGCGAGTGCTGTGGGAGGGGACTGTTGATTGCTCCGCCCCTGTTTGCCCAGCGTTCTGTTTCATTGGTGGAGGTGCTCTGCAGCTGCAAGAGCAAATAGCCAATTGCAGTACAGAACAGAACCCACCGAGAAGAGTGACCATCCAAACACGTGCCACCGACGCCGGTCACTAAACCGTCTGATCGCTTTGAAACTAGTCAAATCAGCACCTTTAAGCAAATCTTCTTTTATCGTTTTCTATCGACTTTGTTTACCTGCTTATTTCGTAGCTAATAATGCAATGACTGATGATATTTTATATTAAGATTCATTTAATTTCAAAGGATAGACATTAAAAAGTGGTTATGGATGCTAACAACATGTAGGTCAATATTAAATAACGAGGAATCGTTAGTTTTTATGGCCACAAAATCAAAAAAATGAAATCAGGTATGATTCAGGTTCACTCATAACACCTTCATTTTGAACATTCTTATGAAAGCAAATGATTCCTCGCTATTTACAAACTCGTTTTCCAGCATTGTTAGCATGCGAACCGCCTAATAAGGGTGTGCTAATAGTTAGTAAACATCTTGATTTGTTCATTAACAATGTACAGTATGTGCTCTTTACAGGAATGTAACAATGCCTTGAAATGTGATCACATTGCAATTCAAATCCATTTGAGACCGTTTATGGCTGTCTTGTTTATCAGTTTCATGTTTCTAAGTAGTTCCCAATGTCTTTGAATTGTCTTGCTACTTTGAGGCTCAACCAAGATGCGAAAACTTTGGTTGGACATGTTGTTTTGGTGTCAGTACACGTCCTGTGCATAGAGACCTTGTCTGTTTGGTTTGTTTGGGCCAAAACAGGGCTGATGGATGCCTTCAGCAAGCGAAACTAAAAGAACAACCATGTAACGAAAAGAACCTGCTTTTGTGAGATCTCTACAGGTGCCTGCTCTAGTGTTACACAACTGACTCTCCCACTTGAATGTCCTAAATAATAATCTCCAAAACAAAACAGTCTCTGACACACCTCATACTTTTTTTTTCATAATCATGACTGCTATGGCCATGTCTTTTTTCTTTTTGCAGAATGGGTATGGTGACAACAATTTAGCGGGCAAAGTTTAATTTCAGAAATGGATGCTGCTTATGACCGTGCAACTGTCAGTCAGTAGAGTGTGTTGTTAAAGGGAAATTTTTGAATTGTATACTGAATGTCAGTTGTATTTATTGTGTGTGTGTGTGAGTGAGTCAGTGTGCGATATGTTATTGCAATAAAGACAGTTGCTGAAAGCGCTGGGTTTGGCCATGTTTTCTGCTATTTGGATGCATTGTTGCAGATCCAGGTCTCGTTGTGTGAATTTATATTGATGTTGAGGATATTATGTAGCATTTCTTAAACATGCTGGTCCTTTGAAAATTGGCAAAATGTTTGTAAAAGACACTAATGGCAGAAGTGAAATAAAGCATCAACGTTTCTCACTTGTATTATTTTTGCCTATATTTATCCTGAATAAGGACGCGTTTACACAGAACACATTTTTGCATTCCACTGTGCTGCTTTTCCATTGCATTTTTTCTATGTAAACACATGCTAGGTGGACATGTTTGACTGTTGCACTCACATATGACACAGTGTTCTAAGCGCTAAAGCTAAAATAAGTTAAGGTAAAAAAAAAAAATAATGTCTTGAGACATTGTTATTTTCCCAATTTCACTGCTCTACACAAAAACATCTGCGTGAACCGGCCTTAAAGGATTAGTTCACCCAAAAATGAAAATTCTGTCATTAATTACTCACCCTCATGTCGTTCTAAACCCGTAAGACCTTTGTTCATCTTCGGAACACAAATTAAGATATTTTTGATGAAATCTGAGAGCTCTCTGACCCTCCATAGACAGCAAGGATGCTACCACGATCAAGACTGATACGTAGCAAGGACATCAGTGGTTCAACCGTAAGTTTACAAAGCAGCGAGAATACTTTTTGTGCGCAAAGAAAACAATAACATAATTTATTCAACAATTCTTCTCCTCAAGTTACCGTCTTCCACCACTTTGGATAGTACCCCAGAAAGTGATTTAATCACTGCTCTCATTTACTTTTGTTAGCAATTAACAGCATTTTATGCCAGTCTCAGAGCTTTGCCGTTGGATATTACTGTCTTTTATCTTTTGAAAACTATCTTTTGCTCTCTATGTTTTGCTCTCTCGTGATGATGACATCTGCTCCATGTACATGCAGGGCACATCCAGCGGTCTGAACAAGTCAGAGGCCTTTGACGTGATCACACTGGAGTTTGGGTGGGATACCCAGGTTTGTTAGTCTTGTCAAACAGCAGTTAACTAAACAAGTAATGTCAAATATAAAGTTAATCATGAATAAAGAGCCACCATTAAAATATCTCCTTTCTCTCTCCATCACTAGTTCCAGCGCTCATAAAGACGGATATTTGAATCATCGTGAGTGCATCCTATTCATCGGACATGTCATCAGAATCATTGGATGAAACAGGCACATGTACATTTTGATGGGAAAGCGTAACCCTAGTAAACAATCTAGAGGTTAAGAGGTCATCATTGAAGTATACGTGAATGGAAAATCTTTTCTCTCTCTTTCTCTACTAAATAAACTAAATACGCAGCTTAAAGGCAGAGTAAGCGATTTCTGGTAGCCAATGTTGATATTTGAAATCACCAAAACAAACACGCCCCTACCCCAAAAGGGTCTTGCCCCTATATTGATCGCAGGCCTCCGCTCCTTGAGTTCTCTCCAGCACTGGAAAGCTGATCCAATATTTTACACGGGTCCTACTTCTTGCCTTATCTTTCCGCAGACGTTTTCCTCTTTTGTTTTTTTATCCGCCATCTCTATCTTTCTGTCGCTCGGCTCGGCTAATGTCCGTCCCATGCACTGAAAACTCTCTCCTCCACATCACGAGTAGACACGCCCCTTATTGCTGATTGGCTACAAGTTTGTTTTGCTATTCGGCCCGAATCAGTTTTCTAAAGTGTTTTTGAAAAATCACATACCCTGCCTTTAACTGGTTTCATGTAGTCTTTGTTAAGCACTTCGATGCACTTCACATCAAGTAAAGACTAAATGACTGAACAAAATGGACAAACAAATAGTTTTTCTACACCATCATTGTGATCCTCGGTGTTACAACACAAAACAAGGAACTGTGCATCTACATATGAGGCAAAAATTTGTGCTACAACCACTTATTGTAACACAAGCACATCATTATGGTTATACTTTACTAGCAGGTTCTTTTCATATGATGTGAATATTTGATCAGAAAGTCCCAGCACATATTGTCAAGTGATCAAAATGAAAGGAAAATAATGCTTTAAAAAAAAATGCTATTTGTCAGTCCGGTTTTTCTTCATCCTAGAGGCCGACTCACCCATTTCAGTGTCTATTTTAATGCACTGTGCTCATACACCTTTTATTGATCTGGCATGTCTATCATTGTTATAGTCATGATTGGGAAGCTGTACTTTGTGAGACTGTGCGCCTCAGTCTGAGAACATGCAGTTTTGAATAATATGCTGATTTATGGACGAATGCTGCATTATTTTCACGATGTTCATCAGGAACAAGGAAGAACATATCAACAAACCTTTTATCTCCCCTCCCACTCTGACTCTTTTCTCGGTATCATATGTGGAAATGGGTGGTGATATGTACATCACATTTCTAGTAGTTCTCCTCTCCTCGTTCAGAGCAGTAGGCAGTTTCTCTTCAGACTTGATACAGGTAAGAAGCACCTGCACTCATCTAGTTTTCTCTGCAAACTATTGTTTTTCTTTCTCTTATACTATGTTTGCTGTTCTTATTTTCTGTTTTCCTTGTGTTTTTAAAGTTCTGCTCCAGTGTTCACAGCAGGCTATAAACATTATTGCTATTATTGCTTATTTTATTAATTTAATTTTCAATATGATTTTTGATCAGCTCTGTATATATTGATATGTTGTGATTTTAGATTTGCATGCTGAATTAAGAGATTAATAAAATACAACTGCACCATATCATAATTGTATTAATCCATTAAGGTCAGTTTTCAGATACAGAATCACAACATATCAGGTATCATAAAGTGGCACTTTCTAATAATTTGTCACCTGCATTGTTTTAAAAATATAATTCAAATGGCTACACTGTCATCCCAGACTAGTGTAGGACTCAATGCTGGTTTCTAGTAAATGAAGAATATTTACATATTGATAGATGAAAGACTTTAAAAGTATACATTCAACCCTAAAATCAAAATTGTGTCATAATTTACTCACCCTCATGTGGTTTTAGATGTTAGGAAGAAGACACTTTCAGTCACCATTCACTTTCATTGGATTTTTTTCACATTGCCAAATGTCAAATTTTTGTTTCACTGAAGAAAGACATTCACATGGGTTCGAAGCGATTAAGAGAAATTAGATTTTTGGGGTGAACTATCCTTTTAAATCTTTCACTTTGCCAGTATTTACCAGAAAGTGACAAGTTAGTGTTGCAGCATGTGAAAACCCACATGAGCTCTGTCACTGTGGCTGGTATTTTAAGTTTAACAAAAGCTTGCACAACCGGATCGACAGCTCAAGCAATACACTTCAGTGAGCATTTAAAAAGACTTACACATCTGCATTCTTTGCAAAATGATTGTATTACATTGATGGAAAGATAACTGAATGAGTCACTGAGTATATTCACTGACAAAATAAGGGTGTAAAACCAGCTTATTGTTCCCAAAAACAGATTTATCTTGCAATGTTTTTTCTGTAAACTCTAGAACTAGGTTTAATGTTTTAAAATAAAACTGACTTGAGGTTTGGTCCTGTGTATGACTGTAAGTTGTAACTAAAGACTCAAGTATAGCAGGACTTAAAGAGGAAGAGGAAATAATGGAGATAAAGTTCATTTCACGATCATATAAAATTTCTTAAAATGTTATTTTCTCAAATATAAAAATAGCTGTATATTTTCATGCATATTAAGGACCCATTTATAGGGTGTAAAAAAAATATAAAGCTGAAGACAGCAAATTACTATTACCTGGAGAACATTTACTGTTAGTTTATGCATTTTTTTTCTATAAGCTTTGTTAAATGTATAAACCTGATAAAAAAAAAAATTTCAGTTTTTTTTAATTTAATTCTTCCCACAATAAATATAGTTCTGAAACGATTCTTATACTTAAGGAAAGAAAAGATGAACACATTATTTTTAGTGCCATGATTAGCAGAATTAAACAAAAATATGATAAACTAAATAAAAATGTGTTAAACATATTGAATTAATATCTTAAATTAATGTATGAACTTTGACAAACATTAAATAATGTTTACAAAAATGTTCTCTCTGATTAACAGAA